ATCCAGGTTCAACTCCTACCACCCACATGGAGGCTCACAACTGTCTGTAACTCCAGCTCCAGGGGATCTGACACCCTCTTCTGGCCTTCTCAGACACTGCACACAGGTGATACGCAGACATACATGCAGACAAAACACCCATACACAAACTAAAATGAAAAACAAAAACCAAACCAACCAATCAACCAACCAAACAAAAACCCAAACCAAACAATAGGGCCAGGCCAGCAAGACCACTCAGCAGGTAAAGGTCTTGCTGGGAGGCCTGATGCTGTCTCTGAGTCCCACCCCTGGAGCCTACATGGTGGAAGGAGAGAACTGCCTCCTGAAAGCTGTCCTCTGACACACACTGTGGCCTCACCCCTCACCCCAACACCTCCTTCTTCCCTCCCTTCCTCCTCAAAACTTAATCCTGGTTTAATATAACCAACCCATGGTCCCACTCAGGGGAAGGATGTCTGCTGCTTGTCCAAGTTCTGTAAGCTGCAGACCATTTTTACATCTGTAGCGATGCCCACCCAACAATTCCTAGCCCCACTCACCCTCTCATCCAGATCACTTTCTGCGTCACACTGAGAAGGAAAGAGAGAGATATCAGGAGATAGAAGAGGAGTGGGACCCAAGGGGGAAGGGAAGGGCCATTCTAGGTGGATAGCACTTACTATATATCCAGCTTCCAGAGAGTGGCGGGAGAAAGCCTGAGGAAGACCAGAGTCCAGAGGTAAGGGAGGCTGGCTGGCCAGGAAACTGTATAAGGCCACAACTCCCAGCAAGGCATTCAAGGACACTTAAAATCTATTCTCAATCACTTTTTCTAGCTTTTTCTTCGGGTACTTCCCACCTCCATTCCCAATCTCTTACTACTTTCATAATATAACAGGTTCTCACATCTTACATTTTGTTCAAAACAACTTTTCTTCATTTCTTTCCTCAGCAAACTTCTGAGTCTACTTTGGGGCCCAAGACATTCTAGGGGGCTTTCCCTAACCACAACCCTCTGCCCATCCCCCAGACAGAATGAGTGGCTTCCTCATGTGGGTTTCTGCAGCACTTCTAGATCTTTCCCAGATCACTGCCTTGTACAGCTGCTCAAAATGGTCTAGGTGCTTGTTGACTGTTTCTTTCTCCCTAGGCTGCCACCAGCTAGAGGGAAGGGCAGGGACATCTAATTTATTTATAATTCAACTGAGTGTCTTTGATGTGTCTCTTGAATTATCGGCATGTTTGGAGTATACATAGCACAAGTAAAAGCAAGTGAGTCTGACTATAGTCAAGTCTTTGTCAGGCCTGGACTGGGGGGGCTGCTGTCCAATCTGCTCTGCCTTCCTCTCTGCTCTTAGAAACTGGGATTACTGTTTAGGATTGGCAGTTTCGATGCTCATGGAAAACCAATCTACATGAATGATATTCTGACAGAGGAATTTGGGGAGACTGGGATCTGGGACAGGCTCACCTCTTTCCGTCTTCGCTTATTGGGCCATTTGCGGGGCCTATCCCCAGAGGGCCGGCCAGGCTCACGATCTGAGCTGTCTCCTGGCTCCCCAGTGGCCCCACTGGAGCCCCCCCTCTTCCGTTTCCCAGAATGCTTCAGCCGATGTTCCAGTCGCTCTGGGGGCTGAAGAGATGCATCCTTCTGTAGAAGAGGAGGTGGGACTGAAGTGGTTGGAGAAAGAAAAGCTCCCCAACTCTCTAAGGGTGACCAAGCTGCTCAAATGCCTCTCAGTCAGGGTAACTTAGGTAGTCCCCAGAGACTAGCTCTACCTCCTCCCACCCTGGGTGGGGCAGAAGCCAGGCCAGAGGAGCCGGTTGCTCTGGTTTGGGGTGTCACCACTGCCCCCTCAACCCCATCCACTCTGAGGGCTGTATCCTCCTCTCTGCCCCTCTGCCCCTCCTCCCAAAGACCCCCAAACCCTATCAGGACACACCTGCAAGGCCTCAAGGCTGGCAAAGCTAGCGATGGCAAAGCCATCGATCAAGTCTTCCTCCTCTTCTTCCTCCTCCTCGGGCTCCTCCTCGGCTTCCCCGTCGTCCGCGGCCCCCTCGTCCTCTTCCTCCTCTTCCTCTCCCCGGCTGCCCGAACCGGCAGGCCGCTTCCGAGCTCGCGGTCTTGGGGGTCGAGGCCTGGGTCGGGGCCGCCGCCGTCTCAGGCCCCCAGGCCGCTCTCCAGAAGAAGCTGACGACCAGGGCCGGGCGGGCGGCGGCGGTGACGACGAGGATGAAGAGCCGCGCGGGGCGGCCAACAAGGCCCGGGGCGCGTCACCGCCTGGACCACGGCGGCGACGCTGCTCCCGATCACGGTCTCGCCGCGAGCAACGTCTTCGCCGCCGCTCCCCCTCAGCTGCCCAGCCCGGGCCTGGGGCCGCGGCCGTCTCCATGGTGACGGCCCTCAGCGCCGCATCCGGAGGCGGCGGGGCCCGAAGCGGCCTGTCCACAGGCCCGGGGTCGCGAGCGCGGCGCTGGCGTTTGCACAGGGACAGGAGAGCTCCGGCTTCCTCTTTAAAACAGGATCCGCTGGCCCCTGGCTTGCCCCAAGGCCAAGGCCCAGAGAGCCGGCGCCGCCCCCGGGGCGACAAGCCTGAAGGCCCCCCCTGTAGGGCTGGCGGGGCCGCGACGACGAAAACTGAGCGGCCGTCCCTTTAAGGCGAGGCCTCAAACTGTCCAGCCCCCGGCCCCTTTAAGACGACTCCACCGTGTCCGGCTGGTCTAGTGCGGCGGCGGCCCCGTGCCAGGGGTCGAGCCAAGTCTCCCAGAGGAAGAGGAAGGGCCACCCCTTTAAAAGGGGCGGAAAGCACAACCTCCCCTTTAAAAATGTCTTAAGTCCTCCGGCTGAAAGAGGCCACCCCTTTAAAGAGTCCGGAGGCTTTCAAACAGCAGGCCGTCCCTTTTAAGAGATCGCAGTCAAGTTCCTAGTCCGCCACAAGCTGCCACTTCCCCTTTAAGATGAATTTAAGGAACTTCTTGCGTGGGACAGGAGGTAGGAAAACTCCACTTGCCCCAATTCTTCCAATAGGAGTGTCAGCTTCGGCAGGTTTCCCCTTTAAGGCTGGCGTTGTAGTCGGCCAAGTTCGGTGCCCACCCCTTTAAGGAGATTTAAAGAGGTCTACGCCTCCGGTAGCCTTGAAAGGTGCAAGGGGGCGGAGCCTGCCTTCCAAAGCCCCGGATGTGAGGCAACGGTGACGGATGGAGCGTCTCTCCCTGTCCTCCGACATAAAAGACTCTTCCTCCTTTTCCTCCGTCCCTGACTGACTTGTGTCTAGAAGGATCCGGAAAGGCCGCTGGGCAGCGAGGAACTCCACTGTAGCCTCCTGTCGTCTTCTTTGGAGTCTTCGGCCTCTCGTCCGCCAGAACTTCCCTGCCCCTCCTCCCTCTTCCTCCTCAGCCAACGCCTCCTTCCTCTCTCCGCCTCCTCCCACTCTCCGCCTCCTCCCCCCTCCCCCGTGGCTCGGGCGTTTATAGGTTGGCAAGTATACGTCAACGCGGGGGGCGGAGTCAAGGTCGCGGGAGTGCCGGATGTAACCGCCCTCAAATCTTGGATTGGGTGGTCAGACAAGCCCCGCCCTCCCCGAGTCTTGGGACCCGACTGGTCCGAAGTAGGTGTTGGAGCGGTCCCGCCTCTTCCTGCTCTCCGTTGATTGGCCGCGGCGTTGGGAGGCGGTGCCTGGGGGTGGGAGGGCGGCTGGCCGCTGGGAGGCGTTCGGCTGTCCGAGGTGCGCTTCACGGACGGGTAGGCGGCTCTTCTGTCCTCCTGCCGGTTGGCGTTTCGCGCAGGCGCGGGGCGGTAGCACCGCCTGCCGGTCTTTGGGCGGATCGCTCGGTCGCGGCGTCTCAGCACACCGAGGCACGCTGGGCGAGGGTCAGCGGTGGGCCGGAGGTCCGGCTCCCGTTCCTGCGGGCTTCGAGCGGTGGCCTTCCCTTCCAGGGCTCAACAGTAAAAAGCACCCTGCATTCGTGTGTGGAGTGCTCTTTCACGTTAACTCACTTGGTAATGAGTTCGAGGTAAATACTTGCTATTTGCTTTTTTTTTTCTTTCCTTTTTTTTTTGGTTCTTCGAGACAGGGTTTCTCTGTGTAGTTTTGGTGCCTGTCCTGGATCTCGCTCTGTAGACCAGGCTGGCCTCGAACTCACAGAGAGAGATCCGCCTGGCTCTGCCTCCCGAGTGCTGGGATTGAAGGCGCGCACCACCACCTGGCTGTTTGCTCCATTTTTATTAAGGGGATCTGTATACAAACAGCCAGCATTCTAGCTCCGGGTGAGGGCCCTGGCCACTGTCCGAAGCCTTTATGTGACTCTGATCTGGTTTTTTGGTTTGTTTGTTTGAATGTATCATTATTGTGTGGGTATGGACATGATGTGTGTAGGGGTGCGAGTGTCATATATGCATGCTGAGGCTCGAGGACAACTTTGTGGAGCCTTACCCCTTTCAACTTTTTTGAGGGTGCTGGGGATCCAATTCTGGTTACTAGGCTTATGTGCCAAGCACCTTTTATCAGCTGAGCTAGCTCACTGGTCCTGGCTGTTACTGTCATGTGGACATTTCCTTGACAAACTCACCTTGTTTTCTCGTCGATAAATTCCCTCATGGGGCTTGTACTGGTCAAGTATCTATGATAGGTTGTCCTAGGTGGGTGATTACAGCATTTGGGAGGAACTCAAGGCCTAAGTCTGTTCCAAAGCCTTTTCATGTCTATGCTGTAATTGAATAGTGTATGGGGGCATTTTTTTGTTTATTTTTTTCTCCATAAATATCACCTCATAAAAGAGTTCTCAAGTGCATTATCTCTGGGCTGGAGATGTAGCTCAGAGGTACAGCAGTCTAGGTTTGATCCCCTAGCACTGCCTGGGGATGAGAGTGGGGTGAGGAACTCTATGTCTACCCTCCTTGTCTGCAACCCCTGTTTTCTTCTCTGGCACTATCCCCTTTCTCTACTCCTTTGGTGAGCAACAGAAACATGAGCTAGTATAACTAACTGATCTCAAACTCTGCTGAAGACACAAAGGAATCAGAAACATATTGAAAACTTTATAGAAATATAGAGAAAAAATACAATTGATCCAGAGATTTACCCCCTCCCTGAAGGATGGATGGACAAACAGTTGGAGCTCCTAGAGCTGACAGGAATGTTCCCTATCTATCTCCTCCTCCAGGAGCAAGGCATCTAGCTCCTTCAGCCGTTCTTGCAGCAGAGGTCCCACATCCTGACTGGGTGCCCGGTTGGGAGTAGGGGTCCTGCCAGCTGCAGTGCGGACCCCTCGTGATGGTCGACGGGACCGAGGACGGCTGCTGTCCCGAAATTCTACAGCCCGTCGGAGTTTCTTAGAGCTGGTCAAAATCAGAGTCCCATTGCGCTCCCGTGGTTCCTCAAAGATGGTCTCAAAGGTCCTGGGCCAGGCAGGGAGGAGAAGTGTTTACCAGCATGCTCCCGGGTTCGAACAACCCTCTACTACCCTCAGACCTTCCAGGTTTCTCACCTTCTGGCTGTGGGCGATTGGTAATTCTTATTGGTATAAATTTCTTCCAAAGTGAACTCCTTCTTGTTTAACCTGGAAGCAGAAAGCAGAGGGCACTGAGAAACCTTGAGCAGGGAGACCCTGAGAAGGCACGGGTAAAGTCTGACTGAATTTCAGTTTCTGGGCCATGCAAGAGTCAGAAGTGACATCTGAGAAGTTATAAGCACAAGCCAGGACCTTGCTGAACTTAATCTTCCAGGCTGGACTACACTCCCTGAGAGGAGACAAGGCCATACTTCAGGAATAGGAGTTATTAAGGCAGCTCCCTGCTCTGTGAGCCTCTCACCTCACTGGTCGAGGCAGCCCCATTGGTGTAAGGTTTGGTTGTAGACGGACAGGCGTCCTCCGTATTCTGAATCTAGAAACCTTTCCCATGGTCTGCAAAAATGGGGCAGAGGGTGAAAGAAAGGCATGGACTCAGGCCTCAGCTGGCTCCTGTCTCTTTACTCATTACCTTGGTCTCTGGGTCAGAAAACACCTTGTCCTTTGAGGCTTTTAACTCCTTCCCCTTGGTTGAACCCAATCTGCAGAGATGGTCAATAGTCAGGGACAAGGGAACACACACAGCAATACACCCGTCTTCTGTCACTGGTTACTGAGCAAAGAAGCCAGGCTCAGGCTGTGGCCAAGGCTTCCAGAAGGGTTTATCGAGAGCACTACCTGGGTTCTGCTGGTTCGCAGAAGAAGGAAGTGGATGCAGTGGATGAGCAAGATGTAGTGAGAGAAGATGAGGCTCCCACTCCTCCAAGAGGGAAGACCTCTTTCCGGAGACAGGGCCGAGGAGGTGGTGGGATCCGGGCCATCTCCCCACAACCCACAGTATGTCTCCGGGGCCTGGACTGGCTTGGCTGGGATGGAACAGGAGGCCAGGTACAGCTACCTGGGCCAGGGGGCCCTAGATCAGGGCAGGAGTAGCTTCGGCCCAGAGATAACTTAGGGACAGATGCTGGGGAATTGTCCTGAGTCCGCCACTGGCGGATAGGGGGCCGGGGGCTGACAGATGCAATTCTCTCAGTAGCCCTGGACTGCTCAGCCTCTGAGATAGCAATCTTCAACTCCAATTTCATGGGAGGTGATGGGGGTGGAGGCTGTGGTGCTTTGTTAGGCGTGAGGAAGATGTCAGCGAAGCTCTCAAGCTTGGATCGGACGGAACGGAAGAGAGGGGCCAAGCCCCAGGGACTGAGACGGGGGCGTAAAAGGCTGGACGGTGGTGGGGTCAATGGGGCCTCCAGAGCAGGATCTGGGGCTGAGGAAAGGAGAGGGTCACAGGTGGGCATTCCTCACCCTTGGGTGATTTAAGCACCACCTCACAAGCCTCAGTCTCTTCCCCAGACACTAACCTGTCTCTAGATGAGTGAACCTGCTCCTAAAGTCCTGTAATTAGGATTGCCTAACACTTGCTAAACCCTGGATTTGATCCCCAGTATTGCAAAGCAAAGCAAGAACCCCTCAAGTCCCTGAGGTCCAAATCCCATTTTTGTACATCCTGTTCTGCCCTGGGAAGGGGTTAAGTCCCACCCTTAGTTCTGCCCCTGATGTTTTAAGCTCACATTGCTACTCCAGACTTTTGAGTCTTATTCCTCTATTCAAGTCCGTACCTGGTAGTGGGCTGTCTGGAGGGTCAGCAGGCAGAGTGGACGGCTGGAATGGAGCTTCTAGTTCTCTGGCTGCAGGCATTGGCTGATGAACTTTTGTCACAGGCTCAGCTCTGGGGTGAAGGGACAAAGTAAGAGTTGGGGGTGCTTCCAAGTCCGGCTCCCTCCTAGGCCAGTGCTTCCCCTGGCCTTTAAGGCTCCTGAAGGTGGTATAAGGAAGGAGTAGACAAGTAACTCCTGATGCCCCAGCTAGAGATAGCTGGATGATAGCTTTGATAATCCCTCCCCTAGCCCTCTTACCTTTGTGCTGGGACAATGAAGTTGGGCCTATCTTCAGCAAAACCCTGGATATAAACAGGGGAGGTGTTATAAAAAAGCAGGAAGCCATCTTTGGCTTCCCCAGCTTCCCATGTCCTCACTCATTCCCCAGATACCTGTTCGGTTGTACAGAAAAGATTTTTTTCTTACATGCTTTATTCAGGTAGTGTCTAGCACATAAAATGTTGTCATTGGGGTGGTGGCACAAGCCTTGAAAAGTAGAGGCAGGCTCTACATTGGGCCAGCCTGGTCTACACAGCAAGTTCTAGGCCACCCAAGTCTACATAGCGAAACCCTGTCTAAAAAGGGGGGGAAGGGGACTGGAGCGATGGCCCAGCAGTTAAGAGGCACTGCTGCTCTTCCAGAGGACCCAGGTTCAGTTCCCAGCACCCACATGGCAGCTCACAACTGTCTAACTCCTGTTCCAGGGGTCCAGTGCTCTTACATATGCAAGCAAAACAACAGTGCACAAAAAATAAAAAATAAATTATTTTAAAAAGTTTTGTTTTTACAGAAATCTGCTTTACAGAAATCCACCCCCAGCCTAATGCTTGCCCTCGCTGGACCCAGCTATCTTCATCATTCTTTCTTATACCTCAGCTGGTTGTCTGGGACTGGCAATGTCTTCCAGGACCACCAGCAGGGTGGGTTGGGTGACCTGGTCTGTCTTTTGTGAAGGGCTCTCTCCTGGGCCAGGGGCTGCCCTTGATCTCATCCTTGAGGTGGGGGAGGAGTGGTGGACGCGGCTCAAGGGTTCTCGGCACAAATGCAGTGGGTCAGGAGGCCTAGAGAAAGAACAGGAAGATCAGTGGGCTCGGCTGCGTTCAGCTTATTCCCTTCCATGTCACACTCACCTGGCTTGTAAGTCCCACTTGACCTGCTGGGGTCCCAGTAAAGCAGGTGACTGTCTGCAGACAGAATCCTGATGATTGTTGTGATTCATTGAGCTGGACGTGTCCTCTTGGTATGCCAGGGGGACCTAAGAGAGGAAGAGTCGTTAAAAGGAAGCCAAGCTGTTCTCATGCCTACAATCCCAGCACTTGTGAGACTAACACCAAGAGGACTTGGAGTTCCAGGTCAGCCTGGGCTAAAAGGTGAGACCCTGTCTCAATAAGACAAAACAGCAAAGAGCAAAGTAATGGAATGGGGCCAACTGGACAGGATCTTCTGTGCCTCAGTGTCCCTAGTCACAGAGGAGATGGATTTGGCTAGAATTCACTCAGATCCCTAAAGGAAGTGATTTGGGCTGAATTAGGGGTGAGATATTAGAGTTAGGAGATACAGGTGTAAAATGTAAATGATCTAATCTTCAACCCAGGCTCTGAAGAAATGGAAAAAGAGGTGACAGTTTTCTCATATCATGTAGCCAAAGACACCACCAGCGTATTTCCCAGGGGCACAGGGCAGTCAGAAGAGTTTCTCATTCCTACTTAGTAGGATATGGTTCCAGCTCAGTGGAGGGTAGGGAAGGACAGACACACTAGTTACCCAGAATCATACAGAAGTCTTGCATTAAGGAGACTGCCTTGACCGCTGGCTTAGAGATCTGGTCTAACTTTAGTAGGGAGCCAGGGCGGGGGTGGAGGACAGGGAAGAGAGAGGGGTCTTTAAGTTAAAAGGCTCACCCTGTTTGGAGCCATGACATCTTCCAGCACCACGGCCAGGACCCGCCGAGAGGCCTTTTCCAGGGGCGAAGGGCACCCCAAAGGCTGCAGCCTCGGTCTTTTCGGGCTCCTGGCTTCCCATAATGCTCGGGCTAGGGGCTGGCGGCACAGGCTTGACTGTCTAGAAGGGCTGGAGGGTGAAAGAAGTAGAAGACAGTTGCTTGAACCGGTTGTTGGCTCTGTGGTGGTCGGGTACAGCCGCCAGGATCCCTGTGTCCCGGGCTTAAGACAGGCAGGCGGGCAGGGTGCGCTCTCACCTGGAGTCCCCAGGCAAGTCCATGGGGAAAGCGGAGGTTCCGGGGAGTCCCTGGGGAATCCCAGGCTGCAGCCTGGGGTAAAGGGGGAACAGGGGAGTGGGGAATGAGATCCAGCTCCTCCCCCGGGGTTCCGCCCTTCATGGTTCGCCTGTGGCTCCCGGTAGGCTACAGGCCCTTCCTTGAAAGGGCGCCCCCAGCTGGCCGCTTGGAGCCGGGTCCTCCCGCTGCAGCCGCCTTGATCACTCGGGCCCTGCCTGGCACCTGCCGAGACTAAATTGCGGCGGTCACAGCTCTTCCGCGGCTGGAGGCTCCTGAGACCTTTGTCTCTGTAGATGCCTCTCTGAGGTTCTCAGGGATCCGCTGGGATCCCGGTCCTGGGAGGCTCCGTTTCCGCTAGATTCCTCGGTGATCCTGGCCCCGCCAAGCAAGGGCTCCAGAAGAATTGCTCCACATACTAACAGCCCTCCCTCCCTCCCTCCCTCCAGATCGCCTAAATTGGCTCTCTGTGGAAAGAATCCTACAGTGCGGTTCTTCCAATCAGAAGCCGCGCGACTCGCCTCCTCCCACTGTGAGCTTCGTCTTAACTAAGTTCCACTCGGGGGAGGCCCAAGCTCATCAACGAACTCAGTCCGAATTCCGGGATGCACACTGTCAAACCGATACCCCATTCACTCCAATCCCGGAAGATCCAGCCCACCGGTAACATCCCACCCCAAGCCCCCGCCCCGCTAGGATCCCCGCCCCGCGTTCTCGGAAGCCCGGGACCAGATGGCTCAAACGTTTCCTTCCCCGCCCGCCTCTCTGCCCTCTCTCCAGCGCGGTCCCCCCCACTCCCACCCCTCCCCTGCGCCGCTCACCGCAGCTTTCCAAGGATCCCGGGTTTTCGACAGCTCCCACCTCCGGCTTCTTTAAAACCAGGCTTACGCAGCTCTGTCCAACCGTCAGAGGCCTTCTTCTCTGTGTCTTGGGCACCGCCCAATCGCCGGCCCCGGTCTTCCGGGGTTAGGAGAAACTACGTGAAACCGCCAGGCGGCCATGATATCTAGGGGCAAGAAGTTAAACTGGGACAGCACCGCCATTGTAATTGAGGGCAGTAAGGCTTGAGCACTAGTCGACCGAATAGCGTCATTTTTCAAAGACCGGTCAGCAGTCAACTACTATGACAGGTTTCTTGATATATTTGGACAACTGTAGTGAAGCTACAGTTTCTCCACCTTTTGAAAACCCTCTCCGTATTTTTTTTCTTGTTCCTATGCCAGTAAACATCGAGTGCTGACGACGTGAGAAATTCCCATTCTCTTAGGTTCCTCGGGGTTGAGGATCTGGGAGTGAGGGAAAAAGAGGGGCGTGAACCCTGAAGATCCAAAGTTAACGATTAGGGCCGGTGCGTCCTCTGGCTTGTTCAGTTTCTGGAGAGACTGGGCAGAGCCTAAGTGGGGAGAATGCTGGATGCAGTAGCTTCCTTCTCTGGCGTGTATGTTCACTTCTTCCTAGAGTCCCGTCTGCAGGCCACCTGGAAGGTTGCAGTAGAGGCTCCATTGCAGGAGACCAATAACCAGCCTGGGGTTGCCCGGTGGAGCAGGTCCAGTGTCCTTTCTATTCTGGGCTCGCGGAAGTAACCCTTTGAAGAGGAGCCTGTCCTGTGGAGGGTGTCAGGTAGTTAGGAATTAAATGATAAGGAAAAGAATCCTAATGTTTGGAGAGCCTGCACTAATAGACTCTTTATTAGGAGCTGGACTGTGGGTGGGGAAGAAGTGGGCATTGACTGGCGTTTTGCACTATGAATGTGCCTTCACCACCTAACCGAAGCCCCTGACTTCCCTAGGATTCCCAGTTCCAAACCGGGCCAAGTGTGTGTGTGTGTGTGTGTGTGTGTGTGTGTGTGTGTGTGTGTGTGTGTGTGTGTGTGTGTGTGTGTGTGTGTGTCGCTATGTGTATGTGGAGGCCAGAAACTATTGTTGGGTGTCTTCCTCAATTGCTCACTTTTTTTTTTAAAGAAAAAAATTACTTTTTAAAAAGTATGTTTTTTGTTTTTTTTGTTTTTTTTTTTTGGTTTTTCGAGACAGGGTTTCTCTGTGCAGCTTTGCGCCTTTCCTGGAACTTACTGCTGGGCACTGGTGACAGGTACCTTTAATCCCAGCCCTTGGGAGGCAGAGTCAAGGTGGATCTCTGTGAGTTCAAGGTCAGCCTGGTCTACAGAGCTAGTTCCAGGACAGCCAAGACCACACACAGAAATCCTGTCTCACCTGCCCCGCACAAAGGGTGGATCTTCCCACTTCAAAAGACTTAATGAAGAAAAAAATCCCTCACAGGTGTACTCAGCCACTTGGGTTTTAGTTAATTCCAGATGTAGTCAAGTTGACCACAAAGAATAGTCATCACAGGGCCCAGGATGGCTGGAAACTCACAGCAATCCTCCTGCCTTAGCTTCCCAAGTGCTGGAATTACAGGTAAGCACCACTATATGGCTAATTAATACTTTTCTTGAAATATTCACATATCATACAATTCACCCATTCAAATGCACAATGAAGTAGTGTTTAGTCCCCAGAGCCTTGAGAAAAATGAAAAAATAAATGGTTTTTAAAACTTAAAATTACTTATTTACTGGGGGCGGGGCATGCCGTAGCATGTGCAGATAGGTCATAGAACAACTTGAGGGGGTCCATTCCTTCCACCCTGTGGATTTGGGGGGGTTGAATTCGAGTTGTCAGGTTTGGCCAGCAGGTGTCGTTCCCTGCTGAGCCACCTCAGCAGCATAGTCTCTGAGGACAGAACTACCACTGCAATTTTAGTGTGTTTCCTCCAGAAGAAACCACACGCCTCTTGGCCATAACTGCTCCCACTCGTCCCTTATGTGGTCCTTAGTAAGCCATCTACTTTCTTTTTCGTTGCTGGGGTTTTTGTTTGTTTTGTTTTCGAGACAGGGTCTCTGTGTAGCCCTGGCTGTTCTGGATCTCGCTCTGCAGACCAAGCTGACCTTGATCTCAGAGATCCGACTGTCTCTGCCTCCCAAGTGCTGGGGTTAAAGGCGTGTGCCACCACCGTCCCCATCGCTGTTGTCCTTATAAAGACTCACTGGAGTATCGGTGCTCTGCATGCCTGCATGTCTGTGTACCATGTCCTGCACCTGTCCCCTTCCATACAGTTTGATTTTGGACATTTTTGTACAAATGCGATCATAAAATGTAGTCTTTTGTATCTAACTTCTTTTGGTAATATTTTAAAATGTTGATGTTTATTTTATGTGTGTGGATGTTTTGTCTGCATGTATGTAAGTGCTCTATGTTCACAGAGGCCTAGTGTCCACAGAGGCCTGAAGAAGGCATCACATCCTTAGAACTGGATTTAAAGACTGTTGTGAGCCACTATGTGGGTGCTGGGAACTAAACGCAAGTCCTCTGCAAGAGCAGTAAGTGCTCTTAACTACACAGCCCATAGCTCCAGCCTTAGCCTCAGCAGAATTTTTTTTTTTTTAAGGCACCATTTGTTGCAGGATATTTGATCACACTGAGATTGCATTATACACTGGAAAAACCTGTTTCTAGTTGTGGTGTGGCTCAGCCCTAGCACACAATTTTAATCCAAGAGCTTTTTGTTTATTGTAAACAGGATTAAATAAAGTCAACTATAGATCAAGAGGCAGAGCAAGCAACCAGTTGACAGGAAGTGAACAAGAAAAAACCATAGAGAGTAAGAGGGACTCAGGACAGAGAGACACACAGGAAGTAGAAGGGAAGGACATTGAGTTGGAGGAGTGCGGCTTGTTTGAGAAAGGTCTCTTTCTGGGAAGTTAGAGTTGGAGGAAGGTCAGCTGGGTACTTTCTCTACTTCTCTGAGCTAGCAGGCTTTCACCTCAGCATCTGGCTCCCGAGTCTTTATTGGTAATTGAACATTGAGATTTTGTCAAAAACAACCACCATTTAATTATTTATTAATTAATTTAATTTTTCAAGAGAATTAATTAACGTATTTATTCTTCTCTCATATATTACATCCTAACCTCAGTTGCCCCCCTGCCTGTCTTCCCAGCACCCCCCCCCCACACACACACACCTCCCCTTCCCCCCAGATCCACTGCTCCTCCAGTTCCCTTCAGAAAAGAGCAGGTCTCCCAGGGATGTCCGGCAAACACGGCATAACAAGTTACAATAAAACTAGGCGCATACTCTTCTATCAAGGCTGGACAAGGCAACCCAGTAGGAGGAAAAGGGTTCCAAAGTCAGAGACAAAGCTGGGTGGTGGTGGCGCACGCCTTTAATCCCAGCTCCAAAACTACACAGAGAAACCCTGTCTCCAAAAACCAAAAAACCAAAACAAACAAAAAGTCAGAGACAGCCCCTAGATCCCACTGCTAGTACCACAAGAACACCATAGCATTTATGTAGAAGACCTAGGTCAGACCCAGACAGGCTCTCTGATTGCTGCTCCAGTCTCTGTGAGCCCCTGTGAGCATTGCTTAGTTAATTCTGTGGGCCTTGTTCTTGTGGTGTTCTTGACACCTCTGGCTTGCTCCTACAATCCTTTCCCTTCTGAGGGATTCCCTGAGCTCCGCCTAATGTTTGGCTGTGAGTCTCTACATCTGCTCCTATCAGGTGCTGGATGAAACTTCTCTGGTGATGATTATGCTAGGCTCTGGTCTGCGAGTGCAGCAGAATCTCACTAGGAATCATTCACTGACTTTTTTTTTTTTTGCCAGTGGTGTTAGGTTCTATCCTAGGTCTTTGGGCCATCCAGCCTCTGGGTCCTGGCCCTCCAGGCAGCGTCAGGGGTGGGCTCCCTTTCGTGGCAAGGGTCTCAATCTGGACCGGTCATTGATTAGCTGCTCCCACCATTTCTGCACCATCTTTAACCCAGCACATCTTGCACGCAGGACAAATTATAAGTTGAAGGTTTTGTGGCTGGGTTGGTGTACCAGTCCCCGCACTGGGGGCCTTGCCTGGTTACAGAAGATGGCCGGTTCAGACTCCGTATCCCCCATTACCAGGAGTCTTCACTAGGGTCACCCTGGTAGATTCCAGGGAGTTTCCGACCCGGTTGTCTCTCCCAGTACTCTCTCCCTCCATTCCTCCCTGCACCTGATCCCTCCTAATCCCATCCCCACCCACCCCCAGCCCACACCCGGAATCTATTCTCTTTCCCCTTCGAGCCCTCCTTGTGACTTAGCCTCTCTGGGTCTGATTATCATTTAAAGGTGTGCATGATCAAGCCGCGTTGTGGAATAATCTTTTTGTACACTGTGAATATGCGTTGTGGAATATTTGTTTAATGATGCAAAAATGTATTGCATTCTTTTATGTTGCATTTGTTTAAATCTGCAAAGCTGTGTTATTTTGCCTAAAACACCTGATTGGTGTAATAAAGAGCTGAATGCCCAGTAGCTAGGCAGGAGAGAGGGATAGGCAGGGCTGCCAGGCAGAGAGAATAAATAGGAGGAGAAATCCAGGCTCGGGAGGAGAGAGAGGAGAAGAGAGGGAGGAGTGAGAAAAGGAGAAGGAGAGGAGGATGCCAGGAGCCAGTCACCCAGCCACAGAGTAAGAAGGAAAGAAAGATATATAGAATTAAGGAAGGTAAAAAGCCCAGAGGCAAAGCTTAGAAGAGAAATTGGATAAGTTCAGTTAGAAAAGCTGGCTAGAAACAAGCCAAGCTAAGGCTGGGCATTCATAAATAAGAATAAGTTTCCATGTATTTACTTGGAAACTGGATGGCAGGCCCCCAAAAGAGTAAAAAACCCGGGCTGGAGAGATGGCTTAACGGTTAAGAGCACTGACTGCTCTCCTAGAGGTCCTAAGTTCAATTCCCAGCACCATGTGGCTACAACCACCTATAACGAGATCTGGTGCCCTCTTCTGGCCTGCAGGGACACATGCAGGCAGAATACTGTATATATAATAAATAAATTAATTAAAAAAAAAGTAAAAAAACCCACAAAACCAACAACAAATATGTGTCACTTGGATTGGTTTAATAAACAGCTGAATGTCCAGTAGCTATGTAGGATTTTGGGGGCAGAGAGAACTCTGGGAAGAAGAATGGCGGAGTTAAGAGGAGATGCTGGGATCAGAGGAAGCAGCATGGGCAATACAGGGTGAAGGTGATAAAGCCAGGAGGCAGTAAGTAAATTAATAAAAATGGTTAATTTAAGTTATAAGAGCCAGTTAGAAACCAGCCTAAGCTATTGGCTGAGCTTTCATAATAAGTCTCTAGGTCGTGATTTGGGAGCTGGCAGGAGAGACAGAAAAATCCACTAACAAAGCCTGGCTTACTTGTTTACTTTTGAGACAGCATCTTCCATTGTAGTCCAGGCTGTCCTTGAACTCATGGCAATCCTCCTGCCTCAGTCTCCTAAATTCTGGAATTTTAGCCCTGAGTCACCATGCCCATCTTGCTTTAATTTTTGAAAATTTTATTTATTTTATGCCTGCATTGATGTCTGTGCACTATGTACATTGTACCTGGTGCCCTCACAGGCCAAGAAAGGGTGTTGGAGGCTGGGCGGTGGTGGCGTATGCCTTAAATCCCAGCACACAGGAGGCAGAGCCAGGCAGATCTCTGTGAGTTCAAGGCCAGCCTGGTCTACAGAGCAAGATCCAGGACAGGCACCAAAACAACATAGAGGGTGTTAGACACTGTTGCCAATCAGTTGCACAATCATTTGGGCAAACAATTTATACTCTAGAGCAATGGTTCTAACCTGTGGGGCATGACCCCTTGGGGGTTGACTGACCCTTTTATAGGGGTTGCATATCAGATATTCTGCATATCAGATATTTAATTACAATTCATAATAGTACCAAAATTACAATTATGAATTAGCAACAAATGTAATTTTATGGTTGGGGATCACCACAACATGAGGAGCTGTATTAAAGGGTCACAGCATTAGGAAAGCTGAGAACCACTGCTCTGGAGTCTGAGCTAGTTACAAAGCTATTGCAATCAGTAGGTTAGGTAGAGGAAATGTCTTAGTTACTGGCTAGTTGTATGCCAATTTGACACAAGCTGGAGTCATCTGAAAGTGGGGAGCCTCAATTGAGAAAATGCCTCCATAAGATCAGGCTGTAGGCAAACCTGTAGGGCATTTTCCTAATTAGTGATTGATGGGGAAGGGTCCAGCCCATTGTGGGTGGTGTTATCCCTGGGCTGATGGTCCTAGGTTCTATAAGAAAACAGTCTGAGCAAACTATGAGGAGCATGCCAGTAAGCAGCACTCCTCCATGGCCTCTGCATCAGCTCCTGCTTCAAGGTCCCTGCTCTGTTTGAGTTCCTGTCCTGACTTCATTTGATGATTAACTATCATGTGGAAGCATAAGCTGAAAAAAAAAAAAAAACTTTCCTCCCCAAGTTGCTTTGGTCATGGTGTTTCATCACAGCAATAGTAACCCTGACTAAAACAGTTACTGTTCTATTGCTGTGAAAAGACATCATGACCAAGGCAACTTACACATTTATTGATGCATGGGTCTCTACAACCAACACAGCCAGTAGAGGCAAGAAGCCAGCTTGGTTCAACACAATTAAGTAGCTGGTGTTGTTTCAAACTTAAGAGAGTCTGACCTGGAGTAGTTTACTTTAGGTAGTTTACTTTAGGTATATTTAAGCATAGTACAATTCAGTGCAACCATTCCTGTGATAATTAACTTAATCCCATGAGCACAATAAAGCACACACAAATCTTCTTGAACAAAGTAGGCTAAATAAAGATCAGACGGGACTACACAGAAACTCTTTGTGAAGTGTATGTGACACCTTCCATAGAGATGGGTTCTATAGATTGAGAAAAACAAGCTTATTATGATAAGGGTCTGGGGATCTGGTGTGGTCTCCTGCCACACAGTGCAAAGGTCACCAGACTATTACCACATCTGCCCCAGCCTTCTGGGCAGGTAACAGGTTGTGAATTCCTTACTTTGAATGCATAACCCTACATGTTTAACATTCCAGGTTCCCCTCGTGCCTGACAGTGAGCTCAACAGACTCCATGCCTGCCTCCTATAATTGGGGGCTTGCTTACCACTAGTCCACGATCATGGCAGGGAGTGTGGCTGCAGGCAGGCAAGGTGCTGGAGCAGTAGCTAAGAGTTCACATATGATTCACAAGTGTGAGACAGACTGAGCCTGATGGGGCTTTTGAATTCTCAAAGCCCACTCCCAGTGACACACCTCCTCCACCAAGGCCCTGTTTTTTCTTTATTTTTAGTAATGGAGACAGTTTGTTCAGAAAGGAAGACAGAGGCTGGCAGCATGGCTCAGGGTCAGGTGCTTGCCGTGCAAGCCTGGTGACATGAACTTGATCCTCAGACCCCACAGAAAGGTGGAAGGGGAGAGCCAACTCCACAAAGTTGTCCTCAGGCTTCACACACGCACTCTTCCCCAAACATCATATATACACACAATATAAAAAAAATTTAAAAAGAAAGGAAAAGGCACTCCAAAGGGAGGAAGTGGGCTAGTGAGCTGGGAAGAGAGATGCTCAAAAAGCCTTATTTTTTATTTTTAATTGTGGTAAGTATACACAATATAAAATTTACCATCTTAATTATTTTATAGTTCAGTGGTCAAATGTACTGACATTGATAGATATCCACTCTCCACAACTTTTTCCTTTCACAACTGAAATATTTATCTATTAAAATAATTCCATTCCCTAGGCTGGGAGGTGGTGTCACACGCCTTTAATCCCAGCACACCACAGGCAGAGGTAGGTAGATCTCTGAGTTCGAGGCCAGCCTGGTCTAGAGTGAGTTCCAGGTCAGCCAGGGCTACACAAAGAAACCCTGTCTCAAAAACAACAAAAACTACTGCAGATGCCTCATAAGTAGAGTATCATAGCATTTATCATTGTGTGACTAACATCATTTAATACCCACATGTTCAGTATGTGTCAGAAATTACCTTCTATTTTAGGTTGGGTAATATTCCATTGTACATTTTTATTTTGTTTATACATTCAACTATTGATGAGCCCTGGTTTGCCACCATGTTTGGCTATTTACATAATGCTGCTAAGGACGTAGGTACACACATATCCCTTTGCGGTTCTGCTTCCAACTTTCTCCCCACTCCCCCACAGGCTCTCCTTGTTTATCCCAAGGTGACTTTGAACTCAAGATTCTCCTGTCTTAATCTCCAGAATGCTGTGATTATAGGCATGTGCAACCATGCTCAGTAAGTGGAATTTCCAAGGGTAGTGGCACTTATTTGCTGTGGAATAATCCTCTTGTACATTGTAAAGATTTGTCACTCAAATTGGTTTAATAAAATGCTGATTGGCCAGTAGTCAAGCAGGAAATATAGGCGGGGTGACCAAACTAAGGTTGATAGGTGACCAAACTAAGGGAGAAAGGTGGAGTCAGAGAGTTGCTGGTAAACACAGAGAAACACGATGAGAATGTCTTACTGAGAAAAAGTACCAAGCCATGTGGCTAAACATAGATAAGAATTATGGGTTAATTTAAGTGTAAGAATGAGCTAGTAACAAGCCTGAGATATCAGCCAAGCATTCATAAATAATAGTAAGCCTCTGTGTCGGGACAATCTGTTTATACTTACTTAAAGGTCTGATGACCTAAGTTTGATCCCTGAATCCCACAAGGTGGCAGAAAAGAACAATTCCTCTATGCTTCCCCCCTCCACCCCCGCAAAAAAAAAAAAAAAAAAAAAAAAAAAAAACTTTAAAAAAAGAATTTCAGTGTGAGCCAGTATGAAGCAGAGTTGGAGCTCATAAAAAAATTGAAAGGTACCCAGGAAAATTATAAGGTGCACCTGAAAGTAGGGCATGAGCTTCTAATAGGAAAGTCACACAGTAGCTACATAAATCATTTTGGTGGCACTCAAGTTACATCTCAAGGGGTTGCTGAGAAGCCTTTTCCTACCAGTCTGTTTTGGTATGAGATCATGGGCTGACTCCTAAGATGCACTGGACAGGATCACCATCTGATAAGGTAAAAACATGGGTTAAGGTGTGTGGGACAGGGATGGGATCTGGCGAGCCGGCTCAGCAGTAAGAGCACTGGTTTCCTTTGAGAGGACCTGGGTTCAGTCCCAGCACCCACACAGCAGCTCACAGGTGTCTGTAACTCCAGTCTCAGGGGATCTGACACCCTCTTCTGGCCTCCCAAAGCACTGCAGGAATTTGGGTGGTGCACAGACACCCAAACACACAAAAAAATTAAGACCAGGATGGACTTGAACTCAGAGATCCTGTCTCTCTGCCTCCTGAGTGCTGGGGTCAAAGGTGTGCGCCATCACACTTGGCTAAAATATTTCTATATAAAAGAATACTGTCTCCCCGTTGTTGGCAGCTTTCATAGCAGGTGTTAATTGTGTTGGAATTCTTGCACCTCAGTGAGAGGCTTCAGTCAGACTCGGGAGTGAGGACTCCTTTTCTTTCCTATGCCTCAGGAATTTTCCCTGTCTTTCTATCATGCCGCAGGTTTTTTTCTTCCCTTAAATAGAACATTGCTGCTTCAGCTTCAGCAGATGGCCTTCTCTGGATAAAGGTCCCACAGGAGCCCTGTGCCTTGAATGAACACTATCTGGTGCTGCTCTCCGTCCACACACAACTGCCCCACCACAGCCCGCAAAGACAATTTCATTCTCCCCCTCTCTCTCTTCCTTCTTTCTTCTTCTTCTTTTTTTTTTTCTTTTTGAGACAGTCTCTCTTAACACAGTCCTGACTATTCCTGGAACTCACTATGTAGACCAGGCTGGCCTCAAACTCAAAGAGATCCAAACTCTCTTGTTTTACAAAAAGCAAGAGTAAGAAATGAAAATTGAAGAAAGAAGAATCAAGAATCTTGAAGAAGCCAGATATGGTAGTGTATGCCTGTAACCCCAATATTTGGGAGGAGGAAGGGGGAGAATCACCATGCATTCAAGGCTGGCCTGAGGTACATAGTCAAACCTTGTTAGAAAGGAGGAGAAAACTTTACCCTTGATACAACCTGTTTAAGGGAGTACTCACCATGGAAGTATGGCAAGGCCTTGTGGAGTGACTTGGAGCCATAAGTGCAGGATCTGCAGCGGGACAATGCTTCAGGAATTCTTGGCTACAAGGCAATAATGAACCCATGCTCAGAAGATACCTCTTTTCTTTCTTTCTTTTTTTTTTTTTTTTTTTGAGACAGGGTTTCTTTATGGCTCTGGATATCCTGGAACTCACTCTGTAGACCAGACTGGCCTTGAACTCACAGAGGTCTACCTGCCTCTGCTTCCCAAGTGCTGAGACTAAAGGTGTGCACCACCACACCAGCTAGAAGATGCCCTCTTTGCTCTGGCCGAGACCCCAGCTTATAATACTATACTTTTTGTTTCATTTTTGTATTTTTTAACAGTGCTATTGATGGAATCCTGGGTCCCATGCACGCTATGCAAGCATTATCCCACTAAACCACACCCCTGGCCCTTGTACTACTTCTGTCAGAGAGCTCACCTGGTCCAGCGCCAGTTTCTCATACCGCAGACAGCCTTCACCTTGTGCCACCTTTGGCTGTATTTTCCTCCTGCGCCTGTCCATGCAGAGGTGCAGATGTGTGCAGACTGTGGGTACCACTGTGCCTACCTTCCCTTCTGGCCATCATTGCCGCCATTGCCCATAATCGGCCATTCACTATGCAAGCTGGGAAACTTCCTTCCTTACCAGCTCATAAACAAAGAGAGATGCTCTTCTGATGACTTAACCATGGGCAGTATATCTGCCACAGAGGCTCCTACAGCCATTCATAGGCATGTGTGAGCGCAGGTGACAAATAGGATTAGATACACACTATGCAGAATTCAACTTCTCTCCCCAACTCCCTCCTGCTCAGCTGCAGGCATATGACTGATGAGAGCTTGTTATGGTTTGAATATGAACTGTCCCCTGTGGGCTCAGTGTTGCATGCTTGGTCCAAAGCTAGTAGTGCTATTTTGGCAGGTTCTGGAAAGTGTTGTGGAATATAACTATGTAAAGATGTGTTATATTTGTTTATGTTGCAGAATATTACTTTAATGATGTAAAGATGTGTTACATTTGTTTGTGCTGCATTTGTTTAATGTAAAGATGTGTTGCTTTGCCTGCCTAAGGCACCTGATTGTTCTAATAAAAAGCTGAATAGCCAATAGCTAGGAAATGGAGGGATAGGTAGGGCTGGTGGGCAAAGAGAAGAAATAGGAGAGAAGAGAAGTGTGGGAGCCCACAGAGGTTTCCTAGTGAGATCTGAGCTTGCTTTACCCAGAAGGACTGCATAAGAGGGTGATTGGACCATGGGCCTGGATACCAGATCTTTGGAAGGATCTACACTTGGCTGTATATAGCAAGGGGGGGGGGGGTCTTTTGCCTCGCCCCTGGGCATTGTTATAAAAAGCCCTTTTGAATAAAGTTCTGGGCCATTGGGTATTGACCCAGGTCCTCCTGAAGCTATCCTGTGTTTCTGTCTTTCATCAGCCAGGTCTCTCTTTCTACCTAATATTTCTTATTCCTCTTTCTTCAAGAGTACCATGGGAAAGGTGGGGGTAGGCTCCCCCACAGATGGTGCACAATGTGGGGCATAGGTTCAGGGACTCCCACAGAACAGGGACTTGGCGAAAGGAGAGAAGGGGGCACCACGGGAGCAGGGGGGGCATTTCTGGTAATGAATTAATGAATTAAGTTGAGGCGATAGTATTCTATTTTTCAGGAGTAAAATTTTAAATATAAAGCAGAGTAGTTCAAGTTAAGCTGAAGTAAGTAGTTAAAGTTAGGTCTCTTTCTATGTCTCGCTCATTCTACTAAAGTAAGTCATAAGTTTAGTTTGAGGAATGTAGGCTTAGGTATATTAGGGTAGAATAAACTTTAGGTATAAGAATACTGTATAGGCTTAAGTAAGACTTTAGTATAATAGAAATTTAGAATAGTTTTATACCCAGAGCATGGACGGGACCTGGGGTGCATAGGGCAGCACCCAGGACCTAGCAGCCACTGCGAACTTGGCAGTCCGAGTGGCTTCAGAAGCTCCAGAAGCTGCCAACAACAGCTGACACCAGAGCCAGAGCAAGTGGCAGCAGCCAGGCATTGGAAGTAGAGACCTGCGGGGCATCAGCGCAGTGCAGGTGACAGATGCTCGAGACAGCGTGAGCATCGAGGGTCTGCAAGGGTCCAGACTAGACACCAATAAAGACAGATGGCCCAGATGATGGAACATCTCAGAATGCCTCTGTTGCAGTTTGTGAGTTCTGCGTCCGGAACAACTTCAAGGCTGCTGGCTGAGATGATCCAGCCTCATAGACTACTCCAGCCAAGATTTAACATTTATCCTGATTTTCTCAAGGTTCCCCCAAAAGATGTTAGCACCTTCAAACAACAGGAAGTAGTATAGAGAACGACGCCCACATTCCCAAAATATTGGTAATGGATATTTGTTATCATTTAAGGTAGGATGATTACAAGTTGTTATTGATAATGGTCAGGAAAAAAAAACCTAAACAAAGGGATTAAATTCAAAGATCTCTTTGTGAAAGAAAAAAGGGGGATATAATATAGAAATGAGATAAAAAGATGGATTATTGAATCTACTTTCATCCAAAAAACAACTACTAATCTCAAAATATTTTACATTGGTATGGATTTTGGTTTATCAATACAAACTTAAAGTTAATTTTGTTAAAATATATGTTTCTACTCTTGTTTGGAGTATTGTATTTATGAAACTCATTTAAAAACATAATGTATATTAAGAAATACAGATTAATAACTAGTTATTTATATGACTATAAGTCAAACTTATAGTCAAGTTAGGTATATTTTCAAGGTCATAAACAGATATAGTTAGATAGATAAATGGTCTTCAAATACTTCAAAAGACCTACAGAATATGGCATTTAAAATGTTTTAATAACCTAAGGCTTTTCATGACAGTGAGACACATTTGCTCCTGGCAGCACCAGTTTAATTCAAAAGAGGATGATGGGCATCAAAGAACCTCCATGTGGAGTTTGTTTCTTTATGGCAAAAGCTAGCCATGTGGGCAAAGAAACTGCCCTTGCCTTAATTGCTGACAGTTACTGCCAAACTGGACCAGCAGGACACAAGGAAGGTGACTGCTGAACTTTACCAAGACAAGGTAGGACAGTCCTTCAGATTTCCCTGCTTCTCAGAAATGTCTGTCAGATATACTAGGCCTGGAGGCCACAGTCAGATGCCCCAATGTTACAGAAGAAGTTTGGGTGATCCAGGCAGCCTGATATCCCTGTCATTAGGTAGCATTTCACCCTTCTGGGATCTTTGACAGAGTTGAAGATTAGATAGTCATAGTTAAAGTTTTCCTTAGTTATGATAAAAGGTAAATTAGGTGTAAAACTTTAGACTCACAAAGATAATAGGGTATTTTCTCTGAATTTTCCAAATGCAAATGAATATTTTAACTGTAATTCTTACTTGATAACTGTTTTTGTTACATATAGTTTTACTATGTTAAAGTTAAAACCTTCCTTTTTTAAAATTAGACAAAAAGGAGGAAATGCTGTGGAACAATCCTGTACACTGTGAATATGTATTACTCTCACTGGTTAATAAAGAAGCTGACTGGCCTATAGCTGAACAGGATAAAGTTAGGCAGGAGAGCCAAACTGAGAATGCTGGGAGGAAGAAATGTGGAGTCAGAGGAGTTGTCAGCCAGACACAGAAGGAGCAGGAGATGAATATGCTGTGCTAATACAGGTACCGCCATGTGACAAAATGTAGATTAAAAGAAATGGGTTAATTTAAGTTGTAAGAGTTACTTAGGAATAAGCCTGAGTTTTGGCCGAGCATTTACAATTATTATTAAGTTTTTGTTTGGTTATTTAGGAGCACTGCTGAGACAGGAAAACTCTGCCTACAACAACCCTTAACTTGTACCAGGTATGGGGAAAGGTTCAAGAAGATATATGCCCTGAAAGCCCTCCAGTTCACCTGTCTAGCAAAATGGAGGTGAAAGTCATGGAGACTTCCTGGATAGTCCCTGTACCAGGTTTCATCCTTCAGGTAGGTTTCAGAAATGTGGCTGTGGCTGGCATAGGTCAGGGGCTGTGAAAGAACTCATAATGAAAGGTATGTTTTGGAGAAAGGCATCAGTCATATGCCTGTAGGTGAGCAGGAGGGGAGTGGGGGAGAAGTTGAATTCTGTGTAGGGTGTGCCAAACCCCATTTGCCACCTATACGCACACATGCCTATGAATGGCTGTAGGAGTCGCTGTGGCAGGTGCACGGTCCATGGTTAAATCACCAGTAGAGCATCTCTGTAGCAGGCTTTCTTTTGGGCCACCAACCCATTCCCTATAAAGACATGGAGACTTAATATTAGTTATGAATGCTCGGCCTTAGCTTATGCTTTTCCCACTAGCTCTTATAACTTACTTTAACCTGTTTATTTTCATCTACATTTTGCCGTGGTGCTTTTACCTTTCTTTCATTCTGTATGTCCTACTCCATGTCTGTCTGTCTGGTGGCTGCCTGGCTGACCCCAGTGTCTATCCCTCTCTTTCTCCCTCATTCTCTCTTCTCTTCTTTCCTCCTATTTATTCTCTCTGCCCACAATCCCCACTTACCCCTCTACTATCTAGCTATTGGCTGTTCAGCTTTTTGTTAGACCAATCAGGTACCTTAGGCAGGTAAGGTGAAACAGCAACACATCTTTACATAAACAAATGTAACACATCTTTGTGGTGATATGTTGTGTACCCTAATAAAATTTGCCTGACGATCAGAGGACAGAGCCAGCCACTAGATTAAACATACAGGCCAGGCAGTGGTGGCACACACCTTTAATCCCAGCACTTGGGAGGCAGAGATCTGTCTGGATCTCTGTGAGTTCAAAGCCACCCTAGACTACATGAGATTGACTCAGTCTAGGGGAGAAACAGAGCCAGGCAGTGGTGGCACACACCTTTAATCCCAGTATTTGGGAATCACACGCCTTTAATCCCAGCACTAGGAAGAAAGTGATGGCAGAGCAGAGAAAATACTCCATTATTTATCCTATTTTGGTGAGTCCAAAATGTTGTACCTAATTCACTTTCTATCCTAATTTGTATAACCAACCCAAAACTATCTTTTGATGTCTTTCAAACTTATACACTTTATATCTCTTTAGTGAATTTCTTTTGTGAATTTGTTAACAAGGAAAACTATAACTATCTAATCTTCAATTCCCTCAGAGACCTGAGATGGCAATTATATTAACTGAGTAAGCAGTCTCGAACAAGCGACTTCCAAAAAATGTGAGAAATGACAGAAACAGCTGGCTGCGTAGAGAGTCACCCGAGGTTCCTCTGCGACACTGGGGCAGCCATCGTTGGAAACAGGCCTAGCATATCTGACAGACTTTTCTGTGAAACAGGATATTCTGAAGGGCCTTCCCACCTTGTCTTGGCAAGGTTCGGCAGTCTTTTCTTTTGTGTCCTGCTTGTCCATTTGGACAGCATACTGTCAGCAGTCGAGGTAAAGGCACTTTCTTGCCCAGTGCCTAACTTGCCACAAAGAAAGTAAACTCCATATGGAGTTTCTTCAGTGCCCATCATCTTCTCTGCTAGGAGCAGACATGTCTCATTGTCATAAAAAAATTACGTTATTAAAACACCTTAAATGCCATAATCTGTAGATCTCTGAAGTGTTTAAAGATGACCTGTCTATTTAAAATATATTTCTGTTTGACCTTGAAAACATACCTAATATTACAAGTTCATTGTAATAGGTGACTAACTACTAACTACTAACTTGCATTTCTTTACATCCTAATTAGTTGATAATAACTTTCAAGGACTAGAAAATTGCATTACATTGTTAAATGAGTTGTATAGGTACAATACCTTGAACAAAATTAGCAAAGTATATACAGTATGTTCTAACAAAAATAATCTCAAATTTGTATCAATATACAAAATTTGTATACAATATACAAAAATCTTGTCTGAGAGTTTTCTGAAGGTGCAAAGCCTATGCAAAACTTGGTTGAAGAAGAACCCAGAACATCACAGGTAATTCTTGACTGAGAATTTACATTTGGCATTGTACCTTTGGGGAACTTAGATAAGAGGTTTTGGGATATGGAAATTAACTTGCTAAAAGGTGTAAATTGGAAAACAATAAAATTTAAAGATGATGGGACCCCACAACAACAATTCCAGCAGGACAATGATAATGCCATTAACCTGACAAATATCATCCCAAGATCGGCTATGGACTACAAACTGCTCAGGACAATATCGAGATGGCCAGCTGAGAAGATACAGACTCACAGACTACTCCAATCAGGTCTTATCCATAATTCTAAATTTTCTTTGTATCCTCTTAAGACTACCAGTGCCCCCAATCATCAGGAAATAGCCTAAAATCCACACCCACATTCCCAAAAAATGGATTATGGATGTTTGTTTAGGAGTTGGTTAAAAATTGTTATTGGTCTTCGTCAATCTCTTAAAAGAAGAAAGGGCGATATGATATAGAAATATATTATGTAGAAATGATAGGATAATATGGTAGATTATTGAATCTACTCTGAAAAAAAGAGGATATAGATATAAGATAAAAGGTAGATTATTGAATCTACTCTAAAAAAGATATAAAAATGATAGGATAAAGGGTAGATTATTGAATTTACTCTGAAAAGAAAAAAGGGAGGATATGGATATGATAAGATAAAAAGGTAGATTATTGAATCTTCCTTTAAAGAGCAACTACTAGTTTTAAATATTTTACATTGGATTGGATTTTTGTCAAATGTTTATGGACTGGACATTGCTAATGTAATTCTTGACTATATATATTATATATACTTATTGTGCATACTTTTTCTTATATTAATTATAACCTTTTATTATTTTAGACAAAAAAGGGGAAATTGATCTATTGTCTACCCTAATAAATTTTGCCTGAAGATCAGAGGATAGAACAAGCCACTAGATTAAACATAGCGGCCAGGCAGTGGTGGCAAATACCATTTTTTTAAAAAAGATTTATTATGGCCAGGCATGGTGGTGCATGCCTTTAATTCCAGCACTCGGGAGGCAGAGGCAGGCACATCTCTGTGAGTTCAAGGCCAGCCTGGTCTACAGAGTTCCAGGAAAGGTGCCAAAGCTACACAGAGAAACCCTGTCTTGAAAAAGCCAAAAAAAATTTATCTTGTATACAGTGTTCTGCCTGCATGCCAGAAGAGGGCGCCAGTTCTCATTACAGATAGTTGGGAGCCACCATGTGGTTGCTGGGAATTGAACTCAGGAACTCTGGAAGAGCAGCCAGTGCTCTTAACCACTAAGCCATCTCTCTAGCCCAGTGGTGAGCACCTTTAATCCTAGCACTCAGGTGGATCTCTGTGAGTTCAAAGCTACCCTAGACTACATGAGATCGACTCAGTTTGGAGAGAACCAGAGCCAGGCAGTGGTGGCATACACCTTTAATCTCAATACTTGGGAATCACATGCCTTTAATCCCAGCACTAGGAAAAGAAGTGATGGCAGGGCAGAGAAAGGTATATGTAAATCTTGTCTGAAGAGACATAAGGCCCTAGGTTCCATCCCTAGCACCAAATAAAACTGGGTGTGCTATGCATACTTTTAATTATAGCACTTAGGAGTTAAGATGTAGGAGGATCAGAAGTTCTTGGTCATCCTCAGCTACATGGTGAATGTGAGGCCAGCCTGGACAGCATGAGGCCCTGTCTGGAAAAGAAAAGGCAAGTATTGCTTTCATTAATAAGTAGTTTTTCTACTTCTTCCTAGGACAGACATTGCTTGTCCTAGTCTGGGTTTATGGTGAGGTGATCCCTCAGGCAAAGGTCTGGGTCCAGGCAGTCTGTAAAATGAGAGTGTGCTAACATTTAAGGCTGCATTTCTAGGCGTTGACACTCACTGAGCATGAACCATGGAGGAAATCTTCATAAAAATATTTATTTTATGAATAGGGGTGCTTTGCCTGACTGGGTACCACAGGTGTGCCTGCTGGTGGTGGAGGACACAGTGTCAGATTTCTTGGAGTTACAGATGGTTGTTAGCTACCATGAGTGTACCAGAAACAGAGCTTGGGTCCTCTGCAAGAACAAGGGCTCTTAACCACTGAGCCATCTCTCCAGTTTTGGAGAAGTTAGTCTTAAGGCTTTTGGCCCAATGTAGAGTTGTTAGTGCCACAGAGAAGACATCCCAGGTTCAGATTTCATTCCTTCATCTCATAACAGATTTTGAGCAAGATGATCAAGATTTGTGGGGGTTTTGTTTTTGTTTGTTTTTTGAGGTGGCCCTCGCTGGCCAGGAACTCACTATGTAGACCAGGGTGTCCTCAAATTCAGATCTGCCAGCTTCAGCCTCCCAAGTGCTGGGAATTAAAGGCATGTGCCACCACACCCAGCTGTCTTATGATTTTTGTTGTTTTGTTTGGGGAATGGGCAGTACAGGTAATTAAATCCAGGTCTTTGTGGTGTGGCCTTGTGATAATTATCCACGTAAGGACTCTAGACAGTAAGTTTCAGACAACATCTACTCTAGAATTCCAGGTCTTAAGTTGGCTCTCAACAGCAAAAGCACAGACATCTTTGTGTGGCCTCTTGACGTGTGGATCTCCTCCACACATCTGTACAGTGGGCAATCTTCCTTACAGTTTGTCCTGATATTTATACAAGGGTTTGGTTTCACACCCAGTCCTGGTTATCCATTTTCAAAAATATTTTTATAGTACTTTGAGCCTCATGCATGCTAGGCAAATGCCCTACCACTGGACTACATACCCTCCCTTCAAAAACAGGTTCTCACTGTGTTGTCCAGACTATCCTGGAACATGTTGATGGCACAACTGCACTATTTAGGAAGGCAACAACGGAGACGTGACTTCCCTGCTTCCTTACAAGTGAAATGACTAGCTAGCCATTTGTTTTTGTTCCCCCTAGCAATTAAATGTGCATTCCAGGGTTGGGGATTTAGCTAAGTGGTAGAGCACTTGCCTAGCAAGCGCAAGGCCCTGGGTTCGGTCCTCAGCTCCGGAAAAAGAAAAAAAAATGTGGAAAGAGTAAGCACAAAGCTATTAGTTTCGCCTCCAAACAAAAGTCAAACTTCCTAAAGCATTGGAAGGTGGGTCATTCATTTCGATAGACTACTTGGGAGCTGCCCCAGGTACAACATTAGTCAATTTACCCTTACAATCATTCAATTTTACCAGAAGTGCCATTTGTGCCTCAAAACGTTATCACTGCTCCCTTCTTTCCTAGGACTTTTCAGAATTCCAGGCTGTGACAACTTTATGGTCATAGAATGCAGCTGTTCAACAGATCTCTGTTGACGTTGTGTGACTTTCCCTAGGGAGACATGTAGAAGCGTCTTCTCCAGCTAGGGCAAACAAGCACTAAGAGAACAACGAGGAGAGCCTCCTACTCCTACACTTCTCAAAACCTGTTTAGGGACACCCCATCTACCTTCTTGCCCTTAAGAATCCGTTGGCTTCATTCAAACGCGCCGCCTTTGCCAACACCCAATCAGAACGTCCGATCTTCAGTTACCGACCAATGAACGAGTGCAATAGACAAGGGGGAAAAGTAGGCATGAAGCCATCTCGCAGCGCCATCACACTTTAGGGCAGGGAGGTTAAGAAGCCGGCATGGCGCTCGGGTCAATAAAATCGATAGCTGGAGGCTGCCTGTGTTGTAGGCAGCGGCGGTGCAGGAGCAGCGCCGCCATCTTCCCCGAAGGCATCTTCCGGTGCCTCTCACCCAAGTTCCAGCGGGAGTTCCCTGAATAACGGTGTGGCCTGCGTCGGGCCGCTGCCGATTTCCTCCGGGCCTTCCCGGCCGGGCTCCCAGGTCTCGGGGTGCGCGGTGCCCCGGGCAAGGCCGGGGCGCAGGTCCGATGGCGCCACCCTCGGCTCCGCTCCCCGCGCGGGCACCCGGAGAGGCTGGACCTACGCGGAGGAGGGGCCGGAGGCCAAGGGCCTTGAAGTTCGCGGACGTGGCCGTGTACTTCTCCTCGGAGGAGTGGGGCTGCCTGCGGCCCGCGCAGAGGATGCTGTACCGGGAGGTGATGCGCGAGACCTACGGGCTCCTGGGCGCGCTCGGTGAGGCCCGGCCCAGTCGGCTGACGCGGGGCCTAAGGGATGATGGAGCTTGAGGGCGGGGTAGAGTGGGGGCAGGGACCCAGGGTCCTGACCTGCGACCCGCTTGTCAGGGGTGGGGGCAGAGCCTCGTCATGTATCTTTTTTTTTAGCATCCTTTCCCGAGGCCAGCCCTGACTGGTTCTCCTTCCCCAGGATGTGCAGGTCCCAAACCAGCTCTCATCTCCTGGTTGGAAAGAAATACCGATGATTGGGAACCGGCGGCCCTAGATCCGCAGGAGTACCGGAGATGGGTAACATTCCAGAGAAGTGAGTGAAAACTGCCCACGGAGACCCTGCAGCCCTCGTGTGTAACTCCCTAAACTCTATCGACCCAACCTAGAATTTTGGTCTGGTTAGGGGTAACCGAGTTGCTTGTTCTGTGGGCAAACTAACTCCCTGCAGGACTCCATTGACATAAATGAATCACTGAGCTTTGAAAAAGATCCAGCGTCCCAGGATCTGGAACCTAGCCTCCATTGCACCGAACTCGGATCCTCTGGACGAGTAGGAAGAGCCCTCAACCACTGAGCCAGCTCTCTAATCCCTGGTTCACTCTTGAATTTAAAAAGGAAAAGAAAAGGCCCATTGATTTGAGTGTGCTCCTAGGCTGTGAACTACTGGATGAAATACACTCCAAGGTCTTTAACATTGTTGTTACAGCCGTGGATCCCAAAGTGCTTCTAGACCAGCAGCTGCATATTTGGGAGTTGTCTTAGTCAGAAGTTTCTATGTTGTAATAAACAACATGGCCAAAAGCAGCCTGGGGAGGAAGGGGTTTATTTAATTTACATTTTCATATTACAGCCCATCATCAAAGAAAGTCAGGGCAGGAACTGAAGCAGAAGCCATGAGGAAGGCTGCTGACTGGCTCCTCCCCTGTTTTCCTATATATCCAAGAACACTTGCGTAGGGATGGCACCACCCACAGTGGGCTGGGCCCTTCCACATCAATCACTAATTAAGAAAATGCAGGCTTGCCCAGAGGCCAGTCTGGTGAGGGAATTTTCTTCATTGAGTTCTCTCTCCCTACATGACTCTAGCTTGTGCCAAGTTGACATAAACCAATCCAGCATAATTGACCCCTTGTCAGTTTGACACACAAACACATCCTGTTAACCACAACCTTCCCTTTCTTGTTCATCCCAACGTCTCAATTCAAACACTCCAAAAGTTGGGTCTCCTTACAATGTCCAAATTCTCTTTCAAAAAGTTTCTCTAGAATATCCAAAATCTCTCTAAAATCAAATACAGGTTCCTGTAAAAGTAATAATAACAACAATAAGTTGCATACTTTCTTATTCCAAATAGTAATAACCAGGGCACAGCTACAATAAAATAAAAGCAAAATGAAAGTCCACCAGTATGAACCTCTCAAGGTCAGACTTCTGAGATTCACTATCTTTGGGGTCCAAAGGGCTTGGCAGTGGCGCTTCTGTGACTGTCATCCACTGGACGTGCAGCTGGTTAACTAAGCTCAGGCCGGCCCCACTCCACAGCTGCTGCTGTGGGTGGTGGTTGGTCAGCTGTGGTAATGGTATCTGCAAAATGCTGGGGCCACACCTTCACCAGTATCCTCTCCTGGGTTCTCTTTAGAGATGTTGACCCTGCCACATCCTGCCAAGCTTCAGTTTCCCTCCCTGACCCCTTCAATCCTGAGGTTTCTACTTCAGCTGAAGCTGCACATTCACCAGTGGTCTGTGCTTGCCTGTCACAGTGCCACGCGATAGTTATTCTCCATGACCCTTTATGCCTCCAGAAGTAATATGACCTAGGAAACTTACACATAACCAAGTTCAGCTGCCAGTGTGAGATGCAGCCTTGGCCCCATAATGGACCACAGCTCTGTGTGCTGACCTTGAGGAAATACTCCCAGATTTGTGATCCTTGGTGATACTGGTATTTTTTTTAATCATGCTGATTTCTCAAACCCAGCTGACCAGCATTAATTGTCCTAGCTAAGCAGAGGTTTCTCTTTAGTGCTTCTTAATTAAAAATGTAACCAGGTGGTGGTGGTGCAGGCCTTTAATCCCAGCACTTAGGAGGCAGAGGCAGCCTGGTCTACAGAGTGAGTTCCAGGACAGTCAGGAATAACAGAAACCCTGTCTCGAAAATCCAAAAAATACATACATACATACATACATACATACATACATACACACTCACATAAATGGTCTTGGTAGAGTCTTTAAGGAGTCTCAGTCTTCCCTCTGGAACTTTACAGGCCAGGCCTCCATCATTGTACTGCTCTCAGCATTATCTCCAAAGTTCCCACGGAATAGCCCACTGCACCCTGAGCACTCAGTAGCTTTCCCGGCTCACAGTTGCCAGCACACACCTCCTCAAAACACATGGTTAGGTGTGTCACAGCAATACTCCCCTCCTGGAGCCACTCTGTCTTAGTTAGGGTTTCTATTGCTGTGATAAACACGGTGACCAAAACCAGCTAGGCGATGGAAGAGTTTATTACATCATCAAAGGGAGCCAAGGGCAAGAACTGGAGCAAAGGCCATGGAGGAGGACTGCTTATTGGCTTGTTTCTCTCCTGGCTTGCTAAGACTGCCTTCTTATATACCCCAAGGCCACCTGTTCAGGGATGGCACCAAAAATGGGCTGGGCACTCCCAACATCAATCACTAATTAACAAAAATGCACCACAGGCCAACTTGGTTAAGGCATTTTCTCTATTGAGGTCCCTCCCCTCTTCCCAAATGACTCCAGCTTGTGTCAAGTTGACATAAAACAAATACAGGATTGCTTTTAAAATGCAAATTCTGAGGCCGGGCGGTAGTGGCACACACCTTTAATCCCAGCACTTGGGAGGCAGAGGCAAGCGGATCTCTGTGAGTTCGAGGCCAGCCTGGTCTACAAAGCGAGTTCCAGGAAAGGCGCAAAGCTACAGAGAGAAACCCTGTCTTGAACCCCCCCCCCCCAAAAAAAAATAATTCTGGGCTGGAGAGATGGCTCAGTAGTTAGGAGCACTTCCTGCTTTTCCAGAAGAGATCCTTAGAAAACATATTAAGTGGGAAAAAGGAAAGTGCAGTAAAGTGTGCATAAAGTTCTATGTTGTGTGTCACCTTTTATGTAGGGAAGGTATGGGGAAACCGTATGCATTTGTATTGCATCATAAACCCTGTAAGGCTAGCTTAGCGTGCCGCTCACGGGGTAGAGCACTGCCTCCCATGCACACGCTCGGGTTGACCCCCAGCACTGCATAAATAAGGTGTACCTGCTCTGATGTTAGCACTTGGCAGTGGGAGCGGGAGGGTAAGACGTTCAAGGTCATCCTCCCCCCCTTATATAGTGAGTTGGAGGCCAGCCTAGAGTACAAGAGACCCTATCTAAACAAACAAACCCCCCAAATACTGGAAGAAACTAACAGTTTCTACAAGGTTGGTGGGGACAAAGGTTTCTGTGTACCCCATAGAGCTACCCCCCTTCTACTAAAAACATGCAAGTTTTCAAACCCTTAGTCCTCAGACACTCTGTTTTAAAAGTCAGCTTAAACCCCCCCCCCCCCATCTTACATGAGGTGGATGAGGAGCTCTAAATGCCTTCCACATTTGCACGCCACTGTTCGCTCTCTCTGACTCTAACAGTTGACAGGATCTGAGTGTATTGCTCTTGTAACCCATAACGTTACTAGGCAAGCATCGGAGCCCAGTATTTAATCTCTCTGTTTCCCGGTAGAAACCCGAACCAGACAGAAGAATGAAGAGAAGGAAGTGTTCCCACCTATGGAGACACCCCGAAAGGGGAAGCGAGGGCGGAAGCCCAGCAAACCGCGGCTGATTCCCAGGCAGACATCTGGAGGCCCCATCTGCCCTGACTGTGGCTGTACCTTCCCTGACCACCCCGCCCTGGAGAGCCACAAATGCGCCCAGAATCTGAAGAAGCCCTACCCTTGCCCGGACTGTGGGCGCCGCTTTTCCTACCCATCTCTGTTGGTCAGTCACCGGCGGGCGCACTCTGGGGAGTGCCCCTACGTTTGTGACCAGTGTGGCAAACGTTTTTCCCAGCGGAAGAACCTGTCTCAGCACCAGGTCATACACACAGGCGAGAAGCCCTACCACTGCCCTGACTGTGGCCGCTGCTTTCGACGGAGCCGGTCCCTGGCCAATCACCGGACCACACACACGGGTGAGAAACCTCACCAGTGCCCTAGCTGTGGGCGTCGCTTCGCCTACCCATCCCTGCTCGCTATCCACCAGCGGACACACACGGGAGAGAAGCCCTATACCTGCCTGGAGTGCAGCCGCCGCTTCCGCCAGCGCACCGCCCTGGTCATCCACCAGCGCATCCACACAGGAGAGAAGCCTTACCCCTGTCCTGACTGCGAGCGACGTTTCTCCTCCTCCTCCCGCCTGGTTAGCCACCGGCGTGTGCACTCTGGGGAGCGGCCCTACGCCTGTGAGCACTGTGAAGCCCGCTTCTCCCAGCGCAGCACCCTGCTCCAGCACCAGCTCTTGCACACGGGTGAGAAGCCCTACCCCTGCCCGGACTGCGGACGTGCCTTCCGAAGGAGCGGCTCCCTGGCCATCCACCGCAGCACCCACACGGAGGAGAAGCTGCATGCTTGCGAGGACTGTGGCCGCCGCTTTGCCTACCCCTCCCTGCTGGCTAGTCACCGGCGTGTGCACTCGGGCGAGCGGCCCTATGCCTGTGACCTTTGCTCCAAACGCTTTGCCCAGTGGAGCCATCTGGCTCAGCACCAGCTTCTGCACACCGGGGAGAAGCCTTTCCCCTGCCTTGAGTGTGGCCGGTGCTTCCGGCAGAGGTGGTCTCTCGCTGTCCACAAGTGCAGCCCCCACATCCCCAATGGTAGCCCTAGACCTGTTCTAGCAGGGCCTGGTCAGAGGAGGAGTGCCCTGTAGCGTGACGAAGACTGTGGAAGGTCACTTATGCAGGGGTTCAGAGGTCGTACAGAGCGGGAAGAGCTAAAGCCCTGGTCCCCGGCTCCACATCCCGAACTCCAGTGTATTCCACCACACTGGCTGCCTTACAGCTTGTCTAGAACAGTTACCAGGAGGGATGACACCATTTGATTAAAGCTTTCCAAGCTAACCCATCTTAAAATAATGTGGGTGTCTTTTTCCCCCCGGCCTCTCTAGGGCTGCCTTCTTAGTTCATGTGTAAGGGGCAGAACCTCCCCTGCTCTGTCTCTGTTTCCGTATCATGTGAAAAATCACTCCTGCCAAGTGATCGGTCATTGCTGAAAACTGACTGGAGTTCACTACCTCACGTGGCAGGTCATTTCCTTGTGTGATGGTGCTAATTTTTAGAAGGCTATATACTGCATTCTCCTTCGAAAACTTGGCCTAGACCATGTTTAGTACTTTATCCACACAGTGGCTCTTCAGAAAACCTAATCACAACTACTTTGTGCCCAAGTTGTGTGTGTGTGTGTGTGTGTGTGTGTGTGTGTGTGTGTGTGTGTGTGTGTGATAGTGGTCTCACTGCCTCAAGTGGTCTTTAATGTGTGGCTTAAGTGATTCTCACACCTCAACCTTCTGAATAGTTGTGGTAGGCTGGTGCCGCCACATCTGGCTCTGTTCAAATGTTTTTTTTTTTAAAGGTGTATATACATATTTTAAAGATTTATTTATTTTTATGTGTTTGAGTGTTTTGCCTGTATGTCTATCTATGCACCATATTTGGGCCTGGTGCCCAAAAGAGGCCAGATGAGGGATCATATTCCCTGGAACTGGGGTTGTGAGCCACCATGTGTATACTGGGAATCGAACCGCAGGCCCTCTGGGAGAGTAGCCATCAACTCCAGCTGCTGGCCAGTTGTTCTTTGAAGAGTGACTCTCAGTTCCCACATGAGAAATCTCCAAGGCACTGTTTTCAGTGCCTCTTGTTAAGGATCGTACGAAAACAGCAGTACCGTGGTATGCACCGTGGACTCCTCCGGTCTGTTTTAACTAGACACTGATAGGGGGGGAATGCCAGTATGTTTGTTGGTTTCAGACCTCTAAACGCCCCAAGATTTCTTTTTAGAGATGTGATAAAACCAAATCTTCACCACATTCCGAAAATTAGTTCAGGTTGGGTCTGAGGCATCAGCACAGTAAACCGAGAGGTTTGATTGTTCTTTTTTGTTTTTGTTTTTGTTTCTTTTTTTTTTGGAGACAGAGTTTCTCTGTGTAGACCAGACTGACCTTGAACTCACAGAAATCCAGAGATCCACTTGCCTCTGCCTCCTGAGTGCTGGGATTAAAGGCGTGTGCCATCGCCCAGTGAGAGGTTTGATTTTAAGAAAAAAGTGGAGGACTAGAATCTAGCAGGTAGAGGGGACATGAGCCTGAGGCAGGTAGCTAGTAGCTGGGAAAATCCCTGGGAACTGGGTTTTATTTTTTTCCCTGGTTTTCACCAAAATAAGGAAACAGCATGGAACCTTCCATGGGGCCCCATTCAGCTTTTGCTCGTAATTAAAGTGAGGTCATTCAAGGCACCCACCTAATTAGGTGCTCAGTAAAACCTGACTGCCCTTTGCCCTCAGCAGCTGCACCAAAGTGGAATTTCTATGACTTACCATATTCCAGCAACATCATCCTGCGGTTGCTTCTTCCTGTAGTGCATCTGATGTCAGCATTAGGTAGGGAGCAGATGGGCTACGTCGTGGTCGTTGTTTGTTATTACTTTTGTTTAGGTGTTTAGCAAGCTGATTGTAACCGTTTGTTTCTTCGTGGATAATGAGTGCCCTCTGGGCAGGGGCCTTGCCAGATAGTTCCATTAAAATATTTAATGGATAAATTCTGCTCCTTCTGGAATTACTCTTCACAAAATGTGAATCTAGCTCTTTGGCTGAGAAGAAATTCACTGTTATGATGGAGATTGAACCCCTTAGCCCAGGGACCCTGCCTTTCCCTAGCCAGGGCCTAGGATGTCTGCCAAGTCTCCACTGTTGGAAGTGCCTGTATCCGTTACCACCGACTAGTGACTATTCCTCATACAGGAATTTTACAGTGCTTCTGGGCCCAGGTTGTAACTTAAAAACTTGAAAGGTGGGGGGCGGGTGCCTTTAATCCCAGCACTTGGGAGGCAGAGGCAGGAGGATCTCTGTGAGTTTGAGGCCAGCCTGGTCTACAGAGTGAGATCCAGGACAGCCAAGGCTACACAGAGAAACCCTGTCTCAAAAAACAAAAACAAAACAAAACCAAACAAACAAACAAACAAATCTTGAAAGCCATCACGGCTAACTTCCATCATGTCCGTGGAGAGCAGAGGTAAGAATATTTCAGGCTTCTTCATTGCCAGGGTCCATTCCAAACGTGATTCTGGCCCCTTATTCAGTGAGGGTCCCAGCATCTTCCCAATAAATTCTCTACAAAATACATGGAAAAAAATCACAGTGCTGTTGAGAAGGGCTGTGATCCATGATTCCTACGCCAACCTCGGTTGCTCCTCCAGTGTTTCTGATGTCAACAGATGTTCTTAGCAGTGAGTACCTTTTGTTCACCAAAAGACCACAAGGTGTCAAGAGACTATCCATACCCCGCTGCCCTCTCCCAGGTCCCCCACTAGTGTGCTTATTTCCGTCAGTTCCTGGGGAGTCCTCCATGATAGCTGTGCCTGGATTCTGTCCACTTCGACACCCTCTATTATTTATTCTCTTGACAGGGTTCCTCTGTGTAGCCCTGGCTGTGCTGGAACGCTGTAGACCAGACTGACTTCAAACTCACAGAGATCCACCTGCCTATCATTGCCTCCTGGGTGCTGGGATTAAAGGGGTGCACCACCATCACCCAGCTAATCTTTACTCTTTTTCTTCCTAGATTTACGAGAGTCCTCTTGTCTTGCACACATACTCTCTAGCCTATAAACATACTAAGATCTGTCTTTAAAATAATTTTAAAAGAATTTTAAATAACTAGACTTTTCAGTGATCATTGGGCATTGGATCTAAACTGATTGTAAATCTGAAGTTCTCGAATGCTGCTGCATTTTGCAGAGTGAACTCAGCAGATGTGGGTTGCTCAAAGCCTGCACATTCCAAAGAAAGCTCATCTTCAAGACTAGTACTCAGTCTGCTCCCGAGAATGACTTCCAAACCCTTAGGAATGAAAGCAGTTTTGTGTTTGGAGTCTTGACGCATGCTGTGCCAACCTGACCGGATACACATATCCTAATGATATTTATTTGCTCACAGGGGTCAGAGTGAGGGGACTGCAGTCTAAGAAGTTGAGGTCATGCATCTTGCCTAGGCAGCACAATAGAACCAACACTGTTGGCGGAGGTGTGGGTGAGCCAGCCCCAAAGTTGTGAGCATGGGAGAGTTGTCCCCATTACTCATCTGTCATGTGGCAGCTCGGGTGGGGGAGAAATCACCCCCACACACCACATGTGGGAGACTGGCCCTGAGGCCATAAGAGCGGGAGACTTGTCTCTGCCCCTCAGCAGCTGCAGTGACCTCTGCACCTTGGGCAACACAGTAGAGCTGGCCCTGAAGGTGTAGGAATAGAACAGACCCTGAGGATGTGAAAGCGGGGGATGGGGGGGTGAGGGGTGGAGGGGTGGGGGTATGGGGGATAGGACTGACTCCACCCCTTGATCATAACTGCAAGGGGAAAACTAGCCAGGGCAATGCTGGAGAGCTCACCCCGGTGGTGAAGACAGGGGAGAGCTGGCAGGCTGACTGTTGATATTCTGACCTGCCCCTTGAAATCCCACCCCTTGGTGCCACCCTGCGTCCTGACATAAAAGCCTCATTTTAAGGAAAAACCCCTCCCCTTCCTCTCTCTTCCCCGCCATGAGGTGCACACACCTCCGCTTTCCCTCTCTTCTCTTCCTGTCCTCCTCTTTCTGTATCTTTCTCTTTTTCTCCCATTATAATAAATTCGTTTCTGTGAGGGTGCAGCACCTGGGTTATGGATGAATGTCCACCCGCCGCTGCTGCTGTCATGCCTGCATGGCTTGTCTCACTCCCTGCAGCCCCGCCGCTGCATCTGCCCAGCATGCCAGCATGTTTTCCCTCACCCGTGGGACACCCTGGCCAGCTGCAGTCCTCCATGTGCGATATCATAACATTGGTGCCATGATGTCTGCAGGGACCCTGTACTGCCCACCATTTTTTTCTGGCTGGAGCACTGTTGAGGACTCTTCACACTATCGGTTTGGTCATTTCCCACCCTTCTGTTCTTCCATTTCCCCACAATTCAGAATTTGTCGTTGTCTCTCGAAGTTCCGGTGCCGGGACCACATGTCTTTCAGGCTTTAAGACTTTCGGCCCCTGTCCCTATGTGCCTGCATATGGAGACAGCCTGTGCCCACTCAATTCCATGGCCCATAGCCTTTGGTACGACGGTCCATTGACGATCTTGCGCCATTCATTGGCCCTCGCTGACCCTCTGGGACACTGGAGATCAGTCTGCTGGACTTTTACCTCACTGGGGAAAATGCACCTATTCCTATCGTCCTCCGCCCCAACCATGGCTGCTTGCACCATGCCACAGCACGGGGGGTGGTGTGTGTGTGTGTGTCCCCTCTCTCTCACCCAGTTGCGTTGCTACTCCATTCCCAGTCTCCTCTGAAGCACCACCTCCAAGCTCCAATTCATTAACCATAAAAGTTTCCCATAAATTTTTTTCTCCCTCTTTCTTTCAAAAAGTCTATTTCCTATTGCGAATGTGCCTTATCTGTTGTTTGTTTTAGGGGGAAAAAAACCCCACATGACCACGAGGTCAGGCACCATATTTGATAAAGGCAATCATGTGGTTGGTCTTTAATAAGGTCAAAACAGACCTGTCTGTGGCTCGAGCGTGGGTGGGGCACCTGGCGCTCAGGTCACCTGTATGGGAGGAGGTAAGGAAATCGCCTCTTGCTGCATATTGTTTTACAGGCCGAGGAAAGTCCTCCAGCCTTGGCCTAGTGTTCCCCAGCTGCCACTCTTAGGCTGGAGTGAATGGGCCCAAGAGACCTATCCTCCCCACATGCTGGGGATATAGCCAACTTGATGGCTCATTTTAAAATTCATATAAACTTCACAGGATCAAAAGAAATCATTGGGGCCACATCACAGAGGTCAAACAAGCTCCAGATAAATGAGTTTTCAGTTTTCCTCA